ATTATAACTTAGCATGGGTGTAAAAAGAAAAATACAATATAAAAAAAAAAGAAAGAAAAATCAAAAAGACATTCTGTGTATTTTCCTGTTATTTCCAGGGCCAAACTAGCGGCGTGTTTCTGTGTGTTGTGTTCTGAATCATTGTGCCGTTGAACGTGTGTTCAGGGGTAAAAATCAGTTTGACAACATATATAGATTAGTAACTGGATATTGTATCAAGTATATCTATTTATTATCACTATTTAGGCGTCCAGGCATTATTCTCTCGGCAAGTCTCCACTAACTGGCTGAAGTGCTAGTGATCACCACTGATTATCTAGTGTCTATGAGTATGGGTAAACATCAGGGGGGCCTTGCTGTCTAAACTATTCGTAATAGTTATCGAATTAATTTAAGTCCATATTATGTTAATGTTACGGTTAAAATAGGGTTCCCCAGTAAACCAACTTTATTAACTATAATCTTACTTAAGTGAAAACGGTCTACGATAACAGACTTTCATACACAAGCTCGCTGATTTGGATGGGAAATCGATCAAAAAATTCTCAGAATTCATACAGCATTTATTGTATGCCTCACCCGCAGTTTTAGTCATATTACTGATGGCTAAACACGATATTAAATCTTATGATATGGATGTAAGATATTGACGTGGTCATGAATTAATCCTCGCACAAGCACAGACAACATTCCTCACATGTCTGTAATACGATCGAGACGGCCAGAATCGGTGGTCAAGCGTGCAACCTTTGAAACAAGATGAACAAATGTCCATACGTCATTTATAAATGTATTGTTTTTGTTTTTAAATTAGCGTAGATAATTAATGATTTTGGACGTGTTTTCTAAGATAAAACATCACATTTTTATTGCATTTATAAAATATTAATGTCACTATAATTTGTAATTCGTGGTTGTAAATGTGTCTTATTCCAACTCTAGAATACTTAACAGTTATAGGGAGGTCCTAGTGATCTGCTGTAAGTTAAAGAGACATAGTTCGAAGAAATTTTTAATTCTCTAACTTACGAAGTTTCTGGCAACGCTTAAAGAGAAAAACCTTAAGTTTCAGGTTTATAGTGTTATAGAGCTATATTATTATCTTTTTCTGGCAACGGGCTCCCAGTTAGGCGTCGTAAAAATTCTTATGCAAACGTCAGCCTTTTGGTCCAGTATTTGGCGGCTACAGACAATCTATCGCGTTTCGGGCGATCAACTTATTCTTATTTGGGACATCGTCAAGCAGCTCGACTGCTCGTAGTTCCCGGTACAGGGTAGCGAAGTGACAGTGTAGGGCAGGGAAGGGGAGGGAGGAGGAAGTTTAGAGTACGTAGAACTAAGTACTAGGTTGGAAGTAGGGAAGAAGGCTAGTGAAGAATGAGGAAGGGGAAGAAGGGAGAAAGCTGTGGAGAAGAGAGGAGGGGGAGAAAGGAGGAGGTGTTATAATTGGGGGAGTAAGGGTAGAAGTTCTCCACCGATAGCTTCTCCCACTCCTCATTCTCCACCAGCTTCTCTCCGCTCCTCTGTAAGGTTGGATTCCTTACACAGTAGGTTCTCCCTGGCCGTCTGGTAGATGAAGCAGCCCTGGGCGCGAAGTCAAGTCCAATGGCGTGCCTTAATATACGCTCGTAGTCGCGTGGCTTGCCTGCTTGCGCGTGAATCCTGGGATCGATTAGCGCTGTATCTGATCCTGTAGTACGGCTCGAACTGCGTAGGTTGACTGGTAATATGTACATCCTTAGCACTTCTCCACCAGCTTCTCCCTCCCTCCTTCTCCAACGCACCTTCTCTCTTCCCCCTCCTCACACCCAGCTTCCCCTCCTCGCTTCATCCACCACGTTCTCCCTTCATCCCCCTCCTTCTCCACCAAGCTTCTTCCCTCCCTCCTTCTCTACCCCACTTCTCCTTCTCCCCTTCCTCCTTCTCCACCAGCTTTCTCCTCTTCTCCCTAATCCTCCTCCTCTATTCCGCTAACCTGTACCAGAAGCTATGTAGAGTGCTGACGATGTTCCACTGATACGCTTTTCCGAAAGCGCCGGATAGCACCGTTAGCGCCAATGCTGGGCGGGTGGCGTTTGCAACGTTATTGACGACGCTAAACCTGATGTTTATCACTTGGTCCTGGGATGAGTCCGCCTCCAGTGGTACTTGCTCGGAAAGTACCCTTGGTACTTAAATACTTACTTATCTAATATGTGCGGACCGAACCTCACTCATCGTCTTCTCTGTTAACGATCTTAGGGAGTCTGCTCTATTGCTCTTACTTCTCTCTTATATTCTTTCTTTAATCTCTACCTCTCTTAATCTCCTTCTAACCCTATTTTCTTCTATATGCTGTTCTTTAGTATTATGTTATATTACTTCTTCTAGGTTGTTATCATTCGCGGTATATTGTTTTCGTTCGGACGCGTACCTTCAGTTGGTTATTCGTTCCGGGCAGTTACCTCTTGTGGTGGAGATGTCATGAGTGTATCTTGATGAGCTCACATCTTTAGACTTTTTTTTTTCACTTAAGTCGATGCCGCCGTAAAGACGCTTCGCACTATTTTTGTGTTTTTTTAGGCCTTTATTTTTGGGAGTGATATACGATACCGTCGTTATCGTCTGTCTTTTGGAAACGGACTACTATCACTGAGTTACGGCTGATGGTAGCTCTGTTCATCTTTCTTAGTACATATTTTTTTCTTTCTATTCTATCAGGTTATGTCCGGATCGGTTGAATATTCCGGTCGACGTTGGAAGCAAAACCTTTGTGTTTAAATCTCGATTATGTGTATGTATATTTATTTAGATAGATCTACGATAGCTGTATGTTTGTTAAATTTCGTGGCACTTTTATTGTGATAAATGATATATATCAAATAGATACTATTTCATTATCTTATCTTGAGTGGAGCGAGATGAATCCATGTTCAATAATGTGAAAATAGTTGCCTAGAATTGTTTCCAAGTCCTTGTTCCTATTTGAGCTCTGATAGACGATGTCAGTCTATATACTGCAGGCGTACTCTAGTCTATTGTTTTACGTCAGTGCACCGTAAACTTCGTTCGTCGAGGCCCTCTGTCAGTAGTAGTGCTGCTGATATTATATCAGCCTGCGTTGTTTATTTTGGGTCGGCTACCAGTCTGATAACTTTTTGCAACATATATAAGTCCACTTCGTAGTTGTTCCTTGTCGTTCTATTGAAGTATACTGTTATCTGGTGCAAGTAACTGCCGTTGGTTTGCACTAATTAGTCCAATAATGCTCGTCTGGATGGTATAATTTAATTACGTGGAATGATTCCAAATAATACATGCAAGTACAAACAGGTCACCGCTACACCTCATCCTAACCCTAACACTGAACACTAACATCTAACTCTAAACCGACTCGGGCTATCTTGATATACACGTGTCATAGCCCAAAATAATACTATGGTGTATAACCATTTTGTAGTGATGCGGCAACATTATTCGGACGTATTATAGCGCCACCCTGAACTAGTATCTCGATGCTCCGGCTCCGATATATCTACGTCCTTAAGGATCAATAATCTGTGATATCGTTCCGATGTCACGGATACTTATATTACACTCTAATATATATATTACACTACAAGACTAACAGTCACCTTTATCTCCACAGAATAGTATATCATCAACCATGGTTCACGTGTGATTTTTTACTACTAGTATTTGTATTATATTCTTCATAATAATGTTTTTCACATGTTGTCCGTATTCTTATTATTGTCCACTGTGCTATATTTAAATTCAGATACCTTTGTGTATTTGTCTGCTTTGTATCTATGTCCTCTACTTGCTGTGACTATTTAAATAATATTCTTATATCAGTATGTCTTCATATTTTGTTTAGATTAATATATCTAACAATTTCGTGTTCTCACTGCGTCTTTTTTTCTTGTTCTGTCGCTTATGTCTTTCTATCTTATTCATTTATTTAGATTGGTCATTGTTCTGTCTTGTATGTAATCGCTTGATCGTCCGTGCCGTCCGTTTCTCTCTTTCTTTTTCTCTCCGTCTCGATTTTTTTCTTCGTTGTTTTTTTTTTTTTTTTTTTGTTTTTTTTGTTCCG